AAGTCACGAAGTTCGGACTGATTCCATTCCGTCAGGAGGAAAACGGCAGCACGAAAGTCCGGTCGCGGTGCGTTTCCGAAGTTCTCGTGAAAAATTCGAAACTTGGCCGATCGCGAACTGTTGCGGAAACGTTCCACGGAGAGATTAAACTTCGCTTCCGCTTTCATATCACGATGGCTTATCCACTTCATCCCTCGATAATGAGATCAAACAATCGCGGACGCGCGGCAAGACTTGCGCAAACTATTGCAATATGTGAAACTATTTTCGATTGCATCGCGGAAAGAATTTCCTTCCTGGTCTTATTGTGAGAACCGTTGATGATGCTCGCGCTATATAAGGCAGCTGTGCAGTTGGAAAAGTTTTTAATGCATTTTAATTTCACAAAAGAGAAGATCAAATTCGTCCGCTATGATACTAGAATGAGTGGAAATGGGCACGTGTACACAGTAAAAAATAAAATGTTAATTATAAATGTTAATTATAACATTTTCCACATGTTCCAGAAAATCCACTTTAAATTTTAAGTTAAAATAACTCATTCGTATGTTATTTATTGACAAACTAAAAATGTTAAATAATTGATACTTTACATTTATTTTTGTTATTGTGATTTTAAGTGTAATGTAAAAATAACATACAAATTAATTAAAAATTACATAAAAAATAGTTACAATAATTCGTAAGAAATGTTGAGGACATTAACATATAATAGTAATTATTTCAACTTAAATTATTTGTAATAGAAACATTTGATTTTAGTAAATTTGATTATTTTTGTACGTCAAAGTTCAAGATTATTTAAAAATTCATTTTAACTTTTCTTAGAATGTTAAACTGACTTTGAGACATGTTGATTGTTTGAAATGTGATTATGTAAAAAATACTCAAAATAATATTCCATTTCTAAGAGACATGTAAAGTGTTAAGTCATGAAGTTGACATAAATGTAACACATGAAAACGTTATAAAAATAATAACATATAGGTTGTATGTTAATTTTACATTAAAGTACTAATCAAAACGTGGTAACACAAGAAAATTTTAAAATATGGACGCACAATTTTTTACTTTGTATAGACGCTAAATACTTTCTTAATTAATATTGTATGTGCTTCGTATTTTTTAATGTCATTTTTAATATTTTCGATATTAGGAATAAAGAAGTCTATTCCATACGTCTATCCATACGTTTGCATTATTTCAAATTCAATTCCTTTTTCTTACACATATGTCAGATAAAAGATCATCTCTTGGTGAATAAACTTTGCAACTTTCTTCCTCATGCATTTATGAATTTCTATTATTTCTCGGATCTTCATCTTGCATCTGTACATTTTACAGATGAAAGTTGTAAATATTTTCAGATGCTTATGTCTTCCGAGTGACGATATACTCTGCGATGGAAGATATGCGCGTTGCTGAGCACAGTACGTGACATTACAATGTTTTGCGGTTCGCCAAGTGCAAACAAAAGTATTTTTGCTTCCGGTGCTACACGGAAGTTTTAATGAGCGTTTTGTTGCTGGAGATACGAAGAGAAAATATTAATTTCAACCGTTGCGAACATCAAAGAGGTCAGCTAATAAAAACACTCTCTTCACTTCTTTCTCAATGTTTTCCCTGCCATCTCTTACGCAACAACGATAACATTTAATGCAAACATTTTTCAATAATTTCTATTCATTAAGCACAACTCGGGCACAATTACTGCGCCGCATAACAGACGTCCATCGCAATTCGTATCTCTCAGTGTCACAGTTTCTCGTGTATCGCGTATAGATAATCTTCGTATTCGAAATGAGCTTCGTACTTCTTTGCACGCGAGACATTAAATGCACGCAAGATATTCCGCTGGCGGGGCGTTTTGAAAGAAAATGCTGCGAGGTAGAAAGCGTTTTAAAGACATTTCTGTAATTGCTTCTAATGGACTGACGTTACGGTTTATTCTCTACTAAACGAACAGCCCTTCTAAGAATTAAAAATGAATTTTTTCCAGAAGCCGTCCGGTCATTGTAGATCACTGATATGACACACAAACTGTACGATTACACTGTGTGATTTATAATTAATAAGGAAAATTGAAAAATTGTAGTGGAAAATTGAAAATTGCTAGTGATTGTTGCCAATTATAGAACTCGAAACCGTGTCATTCGTTTTTAGAATTTTCAAGAAAATAATACGAACTAATTGGCACATGCAGCGATATTCAATCTGCCTTTGAAGTGAAAATCCTCTTCCAAAAGTGCCCTTTCAGCGAATTAATAATCACGTCGATTCCGCCGATCCCTCTCAAATTCTGGACGAGTCTTGATCGTTTTAAAAACGCCCTTAAACTTTACCCTCGTGGAAAGTAATTTTTGTGAATCTTCGTGCGATTCCGCGGAAACTCGACGATCAGCCATGATGAAGTGCACAACGTCTCTCTTTTAGAGTCTTTCCCGTGAAATTGCATTTTTACCACTCCATAAGCACACAATTTTTCTGTTCATCCCCTGTTATAGAGGTAAAATAACTACATATATCTGTCTCTCGAGTTCTATGATTATGATTTACAGTATCTTATATTTAATTCTAAGAATGTAATCCTACAGATATCTTTTCAATCATTTCTTTCTAATTGTTTAACTCCATAATTTTAACTTTCTGTAGAAATGCGATGGTTATAGAAAGTAATAATAGCTATAAGCGTAAAATGCAACATATGACATGTACAGTGCCATACTAGAGTTTTCTGTTTTAGAATCAAATTATGTCCATAAAAGTTTATATGAACGTGTTAAAAGCACTACCAGTATTTTAAGGCTGATGTAGAAGAGAATATTTCACCCTTAAGATTCTCTTAGAAGCTTTTTTCAATTTCTTTAATTTTTTGAAAAAACATTTTATATAAGATGGAAAGATATATATTATAATAAACGAGTAAGAAAGATCGTTTCTCCTAATTTTTCTCGAAAAATATGAATCAATTAATTTGTACAATATTAATATTTGACGCAATAAAATATGAAATATTATTGCTAAAAAGAAATTTACGCGTTCGCGAAAAATTTGAAAAAAATCAAGATTCCTTTCGTATTCTTCTCATACCCATAAATGTCTCAAAATTTTAAAATGTAAAAGCAGATGTTTCGAGGACTCTTTAATAATTACAACAATAGACATGCAAAAATACATCACAATGTGCAGATGGGTGATAGTACAAATGAAGCATAACGAGAGTGCGAGCTATTTAACTTCCTTGATACATAAATTTCGCCTTCCGCCTTTGTAGAGTCGTTTCCGTCGGCCAATCACTGATAATCAATCCGCCGATGGAAAATTAGCATTATCGTGATGATAATGATCGAAACGTACTTCAAGAACCTGTTGCAGCGATAGAAAAGCCGCTTCCACAGGAAGTCCGACTCACGAATTGGTTGATAAAGTTTTGCGTATTCTTAGAAACTTTTGCAGACTTGAATCCACTAGCATAAAAATGTTTGAGCCATTGTCTGCAACAACTGGCAAAGTTTAGTTACGACTTGGACATTTTTGTGTTCATTTTTCGCGAATAAAACATTCAATCAACATTATCAGGATATTTTTAATGCTAAACCATTTTGTCGTTTTCCATTAATTTAACAAAAAAAAATGCGGACAAGTACAATAGGCCTTTTGCCTAAAATTTTCCTAAGATTCCTCGGGATTAGACTTTATTTTTGGCTTAAAATAAAGTTTATAATGCATTTATGAAATATGCAAATTTTCATCGACCGAGTTATCGTTTAATTTTCAATCTTATAAAAAGAGTCCATGAGAGTCTGTTGCCCAAAATTTTCCCAACTCGAGGTGAGACTTTATTTTTGGCTTAAAATAAAGTTTATGATGCATAGATTATGAACATCTAAGTTTCCAGACCAGTTACCGTTTAATTTTCATCCTTATAAAAATTTTGATTTTACTCTTATTTTAACAGCCAATTTTGTTTGAAACGATAATTCAAAAAACTTGCATATTCGCATCATAAATTTTATTTTAAGCCAAAAATGAAATTCAATCTCGAGAAAATTTTGGACGACAGTTATTCGCGCTTTTTAAGAAACAGACGCCGTAAAATTCTTGAAGTTTCCCAAGATTCAACGAACTGATAATAAAATTAAGCCCCGACATTATCGTGATTCTTATTACGATTAGCATGTCTCGCTCGTAAATCAAAATTTCCATCGTCGACGTTTTATCTTTTCGCGTTATTTTTATCCGCGGACTATTTCGCCGGCAATTGAATCGATTTTGTCGACACGCCTGGCATCGAATTCCACGATGCAAAGAACACCAGTGCAATTTGCGGTTGCAAACTACGATTTTCACGAAACTCAAAACGTAGCGATATACGGATCACCATCCCGGACAATACGTGAAATCACGAGACAACTCGTGTGTTTGCACATTTAAAAAGCGGATCTTTCTTCAACCGCACAATTCGTTTCCATCCCACTTAGCCATCCCCTCCGGCTCGGCAAAGAGATCTCTCGTCTCCTCACTCACTTTCCCGACTTTGGAAATAATCCCAAGATCGGCGTTCGAGCCGCGTCGCGCGAAATTTCGCGCTGGCCGTTCACATCACTGCGCGATCTATTCGCGTAATCTCGTGTACTCGCACTCTGCGGAGCATTTTTCTGCGTTTGACTCTCGATTTCCCCCCTAAAAAAAATTACTCCCCGTAAATTACGTCTACACGTAATGACACATAAGGGGCGCGGTATCATGAAGGGGGAGGAAGAGAGAGGGTGGAGGGAAGAAGCGAGGGAAAGCAGAGATGGCGAGAGAGAGAGAGAGAGAGAGAGAGAGAGAGAAAGAGAGAAAGAGAGGGGGGTCGGGGGTGAGGGGGGAGATGAAGAATGACAGATTTTACTCATGCTGTCTCGTGCTGACGAAATGAAGAATCAACGCAAAAAATATCGCTCGATCACACTCATCATGCACAGGTGGGACTATTCATTTGAGTGTATTATATTCACGATTCTCGGCGGTCGTCCTGTTAACGACGGGGTGGTAGTGGTAGTATCTGGGTACATCGTCGCTCACCTGGGGTAGAATCATGACGTGCGGCAGCTGGCGCGCCTCGCCGCGCACTGACTCTCCCCGAGAGCGGGTGCGAGCGAGCGGCGCGTTCCCCGCGACGCGCACCCCCGAATCCGCCCCCGCCGACCCCCGCGTCCTGCTCCCCCAGCAGCATCCGGCACTCTTGTGCAACTTACGTGTGCTCCCTGTAAGTAAACCATTCCCTCCCTCTCTCTTTCTCTCTCTCTCTCTTTCTCTCTGTTTTTCTCTTTCTCCCTACGTCGAAGGGGAAAAACGAACCCTCGGGAGTGAAGTGGCTACGAGATGCCGGGCAAGACAATCGCTGCGTGCGAAGAAGACGACCATAATTGCAGTTGTTTGCCAATTGTGCTCGAGTAATTACAAGTGCATCACGAAGGGGTCGAAATCTTCTGGGATAAAAGATGGAGGTAAATGGTGATATTTTTAGACTCGTCAAGAAAAAAACAGATTTTTTAAAATTTTTTTTTAATTTTCCTTTTTTATATAATATTTTAGAAGCTAAAATTCTTTTCCCGACCTCCTTCTATGTAATTGAAAATTTATGACAGTGTCCTCTCGTAGAAATTGCTACGCAAGTACTTAACGAAATGACGGAAAGTGCAAGTATAATTTTCAAGTGAAGGGATGAATCGTGTCATTCTTATCGCATTACATGAAGAATTGTCCACGTGATTAGAAAAGAAAAAGCAACGGCACGAAACGATGAAACGCACAATTTTGAATTCATTACGCAACCCGACGTTTTATGTGGGCGATCCATCATCTTTCACGAACGATTCTGACAGGGAAAGTGAGACGCGGTCACAAAAAGGAGAAGCACTTGACAGACAGCGCTTCAAGAGTTTTTATACTATTTACTATATTTATATTTTTAAACGCGATATGATCTTATATACACGTGGGAGAAATGTAATTACATTAAAATCGAGTTAGAAAAGCTCGAATGCTCGGTGCTAGAATTAGAAAAGCTCGCGATAACATATTCTGAGCTAATAATCTCGTTAAAGTGCTCGTATCAGAAAGCGCGACATAAATCCATGGCATAAATCTAACTTGTAAATGCCGGTATATCACACCAATCCGTGCAAAAAGTGAGGATTACTTCGACTGTCGTCTACAGGTTGACAGATGGATAGACTTTGGCGTCGCGCAAAAAGGACTGATATATCTGCCATAGTTTCAGCAAGATCAGCTCTCGTAATGGATGAAAGGAATCCAAGTCTATTTGTCTTGCCCAATAAATTACGAAACGGGACAATAACTCGATCGAATCTTTCGATCAAGGATCCTCCTTGCGGCTCGAACGCTTTTTTTTTTCGCGGGTTCAATCGAAAAATGGATCGTCCTTCGTTCGCTAGGGGAGAAAGTTCAGCTCCATGTCAAGCCATATGCTATGAATAGATATCGAGGGCGTATTCCCCGGCACAAAAGTACCGACGATCGCGAGACATCGATTCAGAATCGACAAAAGTACACATAAACCCTCTCAGTTATTCATAAATTTGCATTTCTTGACGTTGAGAATTTGCTTCTCTACTTTATGGGTTATTGAACAAGATCTATAAGAATCTGCAAAATTGCCGTGTCACGTTTGAGAATAGAAAAATATAGAACGAGAAACAGTTTCTCTCTTCCTTAAAGGACACCTTCGTTAAAAGCAGAATTATAAATGTCAATGCGGTAAATAAAACGCAAACGTCACTTATCGCGACAAATATGGTAGGGCTTAATCCTTAACAAATATTAATTCAGCGCGCCATCGCGGAAACCCTCTTTCTTTGCTGTTGACATGACAAATAATCAATTAATTAAATCATAAGAAGGCGGATAATTAAGCATCGACTAATGGCACTACCGGCGCGTGGCGACAACTTGTCACGGTTTCTCCGAGTGAGCGACAAGTTTTGCGGTAAATCAAGATTAATCAAGATTGAGGGGAATCGAGATGGTGGCTATCGACATCGCCATTTCCAGAAACTCTCGAGTGGTGTCGTATATGTAAGTGGCAACCCTCGTCTCGACCCGAGATATTTCTCCGGTTAGGTTCTCTACGCTGAAGAAAATTAACGCTCTCGGGACGAATGTCGATAGCAGAACTAATGCGTAGGATCAAGAATTAGTCCGCTTGACGATCCGCGACATTCGTTCGCCATTTTCCCCGAAATTCGCGGCTACGCTTTCCATTCCATTATGCTTGCCAGTCCGAAATCCGTTCTGCAGATGTAGGTTTATGTACTCTCCTTTTATACCTTCTCCTTCTCTGCCCTTTGTTCGCCCCATTAAATTTTATTATGCTACAAATTGAACTCCGGACCGAGTAATTGAGGAAAATCGAAGCTCGAGGAAAATCGAGAAATATTCAACTCCAAGTTTGATACAATCGCGAATAAGATACATGTTTGCATTTAATGTCAGGTGTACGCTCTTCTAATCTAAACGCTAAGAAAAATATCGCATATTGTGCGCTTTACCGGACAAATCTTCTTTCCCGACAATATAAGTGATTACCATTAGCCAGTGATCGAATGTACTTACAAAGCGCAGTTCTTTTTTATGACTAGTTCTTTCGGATAAGTATTTTTCTTGGACCAATGTATTAAGAGCGAAACGTAAAAAGTTACGATGTTGAACGAACGATTCTTGTTGGCTTTCGTGTGTCTGATGAATACAATGAAATATCGTTCCTCGCGACAATCAAGAAAGAGTATCGAGCTGGAGAACGTGTAACCGAGAAAAATCAGACGACGAGAAGAAAATTCGCCTACCGACTTTCAACGAGCTTTTCCAATCTTACGGGTATTCGCCACGAGTGTTTTTCCGTGTTACGATTTTCATGCTCCAAATCGTTTCGCCTGCGTGTATCTTTTGTCCTGTCAATGAGATTCCTCGAATTTCTTTGAATCTCGCCAAGTGTACGCGACATTTTGTATTTTAACAAAACACGGTTTTTGAGAGAAACCGAGACAAGCGAAAGCGCTTCATATCAAAAAATTGTTATCGATTTTATTGTAAATGTATAAACTTTAAAAAATATAAAAATAAAAATGCGATACGTGATTCATCATCAGATAAAAATATGATTTATCATTAATTTTACTACATATAAAATATGACAATTATTGCTTATAAAATATTTTCTAATAAAGCCCTCATTTTTCATTTAAGATAAAAGAAAAAAGAAAAATTGATTGATTAATTCGGCCAAATAATATCTTGCAATTTTGTAAATTAATATTATCTATATATATTGCATTTTCATTAATTTAAACTATACCAACCGTGATTATTTATAATCCGAACACTATCATCTTTTCTTATTAAAATACTTTGCAACACGTTGATTTGCGTCACGTTATTACCTCACGTACATTGTGTAAATCCGGTAAATTATTTAATGTTTACAATGCGCTATTATTGTACTATGGTTGCAATATTAATATATTCCTCGTGCATTAATATCATTTAGCAATAATTTAACAGAAACGTTCAAACATCTCGTTTATCTCGTCAAAAAAGAAAATGATCAGCTAAACCTGTTGCGCGTTTATAATCTCTATTAACACGGTAGTTTATCGCACAATAAACTAAAAGTAGGTCGCAGTTTAATTAAGGCCATAAAGTGGAAGAATTTTGATTGCATTCCAATTTCTAACGAGATATGCACTAATAAAACATTAACTAACGATATACGAAGATCAAAAATACGAGGAAAAATATTAATGAAACATTCGTGCACAGATTGTACGCTTCGTTTCGTTGATAAAAATTTTATTTCGCAGAACGATGATCGTTAATTATTTCAGCGATAAATTTTTCAGAGAAACGCATTATCATAAAAATCTGTAAAGATATATTGATACATTTAGAATCGCTAAATTCAACAATTAAAGAAACATTGCACTGGTTTCGCACTTATGTCACTTATATACTTTTGTGCAAATATATTATGTACATTTCCAGATTTCAGTTTTAAATTTAACAAAGCTGACTACCCGACTTCCATTCTCGCACGAAAAGTGTTTCGCGTTGGCAGGAATATTAACGAAGTTAATACCACGACTTTTAATCTTTGAAATCACGCTTCGTAAACCTCGCCGCTTCGCATATTACGAGATTAATTTTACGCTACCTGAGTTCGTTTCGACTTGTGCAGAGATAACATCGTCATGTAAAAAGTACATGAAAATGCCAGCTCGCTGTGGCTTGGATCTCGATTCGTGGCTCGTATATTATTTTCGCTTAACAATGACCCGATACCGCGTAATTCTCTTGCTTGTGTCGCAGCACGTTGATTTAAAAGCAGCACAGTAAGCCGAATAAATACGCAACTTTCTGAATACGTTTCTTCTATTGTTTGAAGCATAGTAAAGGGTGAAATAGTAATGGATGAAAAATACAAGGAAACCAATTAACTCTGAAAAATAAAGTCCCCCTCGGTCACTGTTTACAATACGACATTGTCGAGAAACATTATAAAGATTACGAAGAATTGAACGTTGTAGATTTAAACAATTTTCTATATTCTCATCTTGTGCACAAAATGTGCGACGACATTCGTACATGAAGCAAGTCAGTATTTTCATTCAATGCAGTGAGCTAATACAGTTTTATCGCAAATGGAGAATTTATATTTGAAAGCACGTACTTACTCGCGCGCGAGTCTGATCAAGCGCGGGATTTTTTCACTTGCAGCGAATATATTGCAACATATATTGCAACTCCTGCGCAAGTCACAAAAATTTAACAAGACGAAACGGATATGTGGTATCACTTTCAATTACATCTATATATAACAAACATGGCTGTTTGTTTAATTAAAAGTTTCATCATTAACTCAGATTTACATCAGATTATTCTCATTATTCATTCTCTAGCAAGAATTATGTCTGTTAAAATACAATTTTAAAATATAAGTTTAAAATACAATTTAAAATCAAAATAATTAAATAACAGAAATATAATTTTCACAAAAGAATTTTATATAAATATGTATGATTCTCTCGTAAAACAGAGTTTTAATTC